ACACTGACTCCCTGTACTGTAACCCCTGAAAAAATATATAATTCAGTACATAGCAAAACTTAACTGAAAATTAAAATATTTTTTATGTTGCTAATTTACCTGTGGTACAAGGCTAACATGGATATTGCAGAAGTTTTCTCTTTTTGCCTTGAACTGGAACTGTCTGAATGCCTCAACAAATGGCATTCCTTCAATGTCTCCGATAGTTCCACCCAGCTGAAAAAGAAGGCCTAGAATTTACAACTGTTCTGATAATTTAAAAAAATATATTTCTACTCTGTCAGCCTTGAAAATTTTAAATGTTCAGCTCAGTTGTGCATGTTGTAAGAGGGAGAATGAATGGCATGTGGTTCTGAAGACACATCTTGTAAGTAGCCCTTGCATCATTACATCAGCCACTTTCTGCGGAAAACTTTACTCATTTTCAAAGCTAATTTTATTGACTTTTTAATGTCAAGGGCACAGTTTTCCACCGGAACAAGTATGTTACCACCAAAATGCATATGTTTTACATACAGTTTTCAATATCTTAGAGACAACTATATTCTTCAATGAAATAGCAAGGATGAAGTTATCAATATATACAGGCAGTCCCCGGGTTACGTACAAGATAGGGACTGTAGGTTTGTTCTTAAGTTGAATTTGTATGTAAGTCGGAACTGGTACATATTGTAGGGGAAACTCTAGCCAAACATTTCTCCAGAGCTCAGTTTTATTCTCCCACACCTCACTTCCCTCAGTCCTTTAGTCTCAAGCTGAGGTGTCTGCTTAGATACTTGAAAACTGCTATCACGTCCCCTCTCAGTCTTCTCTTTTCTAAACTAAACAAACCCAGTTATTTCAGGCTACGTCTATATTACAAGGTTTTTGCACAAAAATGGCCGTTTTTACGCAAAAACCTATGGAGAGTCCACACCTCAAATGTTCTTGTGCGCAAGTAAATCAGCAGTAAAAAAGTCGGAAGAGAAAGCTTTTTCCAGTGTAGGTAAACCTACTTCTCCGAGGCATAACTCCCTATTGTGCAAAAAGTCAAGTTTGGATGCTCCGGGGGGTTTCCTGTGCAAGAAACCCCTATTGGAAAAAGAACAGGTGCTCTGATGGCCATTCTGTGTATGGCTATTTGAGCTTTCTTGTGCAAGAGCTTCCATGCAGTGTGGATGCTCTCTTGTGCAAAAGCACGATACTTTTTCAATGTGCTTCAAGGTGTGGACTTGTTTTTGCCAAGAAGGTACACAATACTCCAACTGAGGCCTAATCAGCACAGAGTAGAGTGGAAGAATGACTTCTCATTTCTTGCTCAAAACACTCCTGTTAATGAATCCCAGAATCATGTTTTCTTTTTTTGCAACAGTGTCACACTGTTGATTCTTGTTTAACTTGTGGTCCACTATGACCCCTAGATCCCTTTCCTCAGTACTACTTCCTAGACAATCATTTCCCATTCTGCATGTGTGAAACTGATTGTTCTTTCTAAGTGGAGCACTTTGCATTTGTCCTTACTAAACTTCATACTATTTACCTCAGATCATTTCTCTAGTTTGTCCAGATCATTTTGAATTTTGACGCTATTCCTTGCAATTCCTCCCAGCTTAGTATCATCTGCAAACTTAATAAGCATACTCTCTATGCCAATATCTAAATTGTTGATGAAGATATTGAACAGAACCGGTCCCAAAACAGATCCCTGCGAAACCCTACTTCTTATACCTTTCCAGCAGGATTGTGAACCGTTAATTACTACTCTCTGAGAATGATTATTCACCCAGTTATGAACCCACCTCATAGTAGTCCCATCTAAGTTGTATTTCCCTAGTTTATTGATAAGACTATCATGAAAGACCATATCAAATCCTTACTAAAGTCTAGGTAAACCACGTCCACCGCTTCTCCCTTATCCAAAAGACTTGTTATTCTATCAAAGAAAGCTATCAGATTGATTTGACATTGATTTGTCAGATTGATTTGTTCTTAACTTTACTTGTCTTCAGAAATTAGGTGCCTATTTTGTGTCTGAAATTAATTGTATACAACTGAGTTTGAAGGGGTAGCCGTGTTAGTCTGTAACAGAAAAAAATTAAAAAACAAAAGTTTGCTTAAACTCCATTCATTTGAAGAAGTGGGCTATGCCCACAGAAGCTCATGATACCATCTACATTTTTTGTTAGTCTCTAAGATGCTGCAAGACTATTTGTTGTTTTTTAAATTAAATCACAAAAGTGTGCTCACCTATCATATCCTTTACAAAACTAATGTTGTTGCAGTTATGATGAAGGGATTTTAATAATTGTATTCTAATTCCTGTTAAGACTACTTAGAGTGAAAATATAGGCACTGTATTTTAAATAGTGAAAACTGAAATAAAACAAAGAAATTAGTAGTTCAGATAATAAATCTTAACTAACCTACATGTAGCTACACACATTACAATTATCAAGTGACAGACAATGAAACAACTTTAATGCCAATCTATGAATTGTTTGACTTTATGTATTTTATTAGCTTGATTTCTGAAGCTAAATATTTTCTTTGAATATTTTAAATGAGAAATATTGGTTAATATATTTATCAATGAATTGTAAAACATTCGGTACAGAGCCCATAATTGTTTTTTCTTCATAGTAATGTGTACAGGAAAATAATGTAATGTTGTTAATGTATGATAAAACTAAGTAGGTAGACTTGCTTTAGAGGCTTATTGATATGGATCATTAAAGTGTATGTACAGAATTGTTTCTTTTTCAAAACTGCAAATACCATTTATTTTTCAAGTTTCCTGACAGTGTGGTATTTATTATGAATAAGCATTAAGGCTGTTGGGTGATAATGAAATGGTTATTTCTTTGTTCTTGATAAAAATAATGTATTTGTTTATTATACACAGAAGTACATTCACTGTGAATCATCCCCACTGTTGTTTTTAAAGAATGCTTTCAAAATTTTGGAATTTGCCAGTGTATGTTTTCTTTGATGTTGGTTTGTATTTGCATGGTTTTGATTTTTTCCATCTTACATATCTTCCTTTGTTTCAATAAACAAAGGAATGGGATTTGTAACACACAGTATTCAGTCTTACTACCATTTAAACTATTCACATGATTTATGAGACATCACTTTAAAATATGGTATAGTTATTATGGACAATTGATTATAAAACATCCTACACACAGACACATATGTTAACATTTTTATTATGAACCACCAAAAACATATTTACTTCAACGAGTTATAAAAAAAGATATTCATTTCTTTTGAGGAAGTCACTGCTGGATAGGAGGCTTCCAATCTGCAGAAATTAAGATAACTGCAATGTCCGTTTTTATTTATTGGATTTTAGAAAAGAAAATTGGCACATTTAACAAGTTTGCCACAAGTACAATATTGATAGTTAGAACATCCCATGGGAGTTCTGTCTGGGAAAAGAATGAAGGGCCAGGCTTTTAAAATGATGGCAGATTGATTAATGCTGCAGAGTTCATTAGTGAAATTGACTTACCTATGACAGGAACAAAAGGAAATAACTTAGTTCTGCCAAATAACACATAATTGGTATTTTGAACATGAGAATGTATTTTATGACTGAAACAGTAGATTTTAACTGAAATAACATATGGACTAAAAAGTCGTATCTTCCGTAAGGTTCAGAAAAGAGAAAATTTACAAAAAAGGGAGAACACAATGTTTACTTGTGCACATTGTCATTGTATAAGAACATAATTATACCAAACAGCAGAGTTGTGTATCTTGCTAGGGGCTTGATATTGCAACATAGTAGACCCATCATGGAGTGCTAAGCAGCTTCAATTTCCATCAGAGGTAGTGGGAGTGGGCGAGATTCATGGAGTGCTAAGGTAGTCCATCAGAGGTAGTGGGAGTGGGCGAGAATTCAGGACATCAAAAGAATGCTCAGGACCTTGCAGAACTGATCCTTAGAACTATTTTGGTTTTGCCAGGAGCCCCAACCAAAGGACTGCTCCTAAAGCAGACCACAAAGATGACTCTGGTTCAGACCATAGCAATCTGTCTCTCTTCTGCTCTGAAAAAAAAGCGCTCTACACTAGACTTATACCTGGTGCAGTGTATTTTATTCAGAGAACAAACATAGCTTTGCTAGGTAGTGTGCTGGCCTCTCCTGCTTACCTGCATGGGGAGGGATACAGTGGTTCTTTGGCGCCTGCTTTCTACCCCACATTTCACCTGTGATATGGGTGGCCAGGAAATAATGTGACACCTTTGCATATTCATTCACACATTTTGTAGTTAAGCTATCTGAACATATAATTGGCTACACATTTGCAAATGATGGATTATTTTTCGTCACACATTTTGTAGTTAAACTATCTGCACATATAATTGTCTACACATTTGCAAATGATGGATTATTTTTCACATTTCATTACCAAAACTGATGATACAGCCTCACATTCCAAGAACTCCTCCCAGAATAGATACATCATTAACCCTAGACGTTTAGAGTCATATGTACATTTTGCTGTGCGACTCTTTAATGGAAGCTAGAACCCCCCGTACTATTTTAAGGATTAAAATATATTGACATTCAGTACATTTTTGTAATTTCATTTCTTTAGTTTTTAATGCAGTAATATGGAACAAATTGCTTCCTCCTCCCTCACAAAGGTTTGTCTACACTTGAAAAACCATTGCAACACAGCTACACCACTACAGCACTTCAATGTAGATACCACACATGACAACAGGAAGAATTGTCTCACTGGCATAAGAAATACACCTCCCTGAGAGATGGTAGCTATGTCAACAGAAGAATTCTTCCATTGATATAATACTGTCCGTACTGGGGGTTAAATCAGCTTAAATAGCTTGCTCAGGGGTGTGGGTTTTTCATACCTCTGCAGACCATGCCTAAGACAAGTTCCTTTTCTGATTAGAAAGAATTGAAGCCTCGTGTTTTGTATTATTTTCATGCACCAATATATCTAGATGAACTATAAACACACATTTTTATCATAGCCCTGTGAACTCACCAAATCTGGAGACAATCCTAGTCCTCTCAGCGCTCGAACACTGTTCTGTGTAGGTTTTGTTTTCTGTTCTCCAGTAGCATTAGGCTGGAAACATATATTATAAAGGCTGAAACAGTAACTCAGTTCTAGCATCAAGACAATTATAGTTAAAAACAAAGAAATGTCAATGAAAGTAAGGATACTGACATGGACATAAAAGCATACATTAAAGCAATATCTTATTGCATGCATTAAAACCCTCTGGAACTTCTAGCCAAACAGCACTAATTCAAGCCAACTGCCTCTTTTAGATCAGTATACAGAGTGTATAGGGCTCAGAACTTGGGAAGAGAAATGTCCAAACTTGGATCTTCTAAAATTGTTTGGAAATGCTACAAACAGTGTCATGCCTTCAATGATCTTCCATAAGTGGAACTGTTTGGAATTTAGTACATCATTCTGTCCTCAAATATACACATTCAACTGCCACTGAAATTAATTGTAAATGGGTTTATGTAAATCAGGACAGAATATGTTCCTAGTTATCATTATAGATAATCCAAAAGAAATCCTGGAAAAAATAGTGGTATTGTCAGCTTCCTTCCAAATACTTGCTTATGAATATTCACAACTTTAAAAATAATCTATTTTTGGCATAAAAGTTACAGTTAGATGGAACACAACATTTTCAGCACTGTAAAGCAGATGTTACCTCACAGATGGGTTCTGTGAACACTATGGGCTCGTCTACACTGGCCCCTTTTCCGAAAGGGGCATGTTAATTTCACAGGTCGTAATAGGGAAATCCGCGGGGGATTTAAATATCCCCCGCGGCATTTAAATAAAAATGTCCGCCGCTTTTTTCCGGCTTTTAGAAAAGCCGGAAAAGAGCATCTACACTGGCCCTTTATTTAAATGCCGCGGGGGATATTTAAATCCCCCGCGGATTTCCCTATTACGACCTGTGAAATTAACATGCCCCTTTCGGAAAAGGGGCCAGTGTAGATGTAGCCTATTAGTCTTCACTCAACTACCTGGAATACTAAAAGGGAGACTACGAAAGAATATTGGGTGAAATCCGGGCTCCAGTGAAATCAATGGCAAAACTCCCATTGGTTTCAGTGGAGTAAGGATTTCATCTATTCTCTCTTTAAGTTTTAACACACTGACTCCCTGTACTGTAACCCCTGAAAAAATATATAATTCAGTACATAGCAAAACTTAACTGAAAATTAAAATATTTTTTATGTTGCTAATTTACCTGTGGTACAAGGCTAACATGGATATTGCAGAAGTTTTCTCTTTTTGCCTTGAACTGGAACTGTCTGAATGCCTCAACAAATGGCATTCCTTCAATGTCTCCGATAGTTCCACCCAGCTGAAAAAGAAGGCCTAGAATTTACAACTGTTCTGATAATTTAAAAAAATATATTTCTACTCTGTCAGCCTTGAAAATTTTAAATGTTCAGCTCAGTTGTGCATGTTGTAAGAGGGAGAATGAATGGCATGTGGTTCTGAAGACACATCTTGTAAGTAGCCCTTGCATCATTACATCAGCCACTTTCTGCGGAAAACTTTACTCATTTTCAAAGCTAATTTTATTGACTTTTTAATGTCGAGGGCACAGTTTTCCACCGGAACAAGTATGTTACCGCCAAAATGCATACGTTTTACATACAGTTTTCAATATCTTAGAGACAACTATATTCTTCAATGAAATAGCAAGGATGAAGTTATCAATATATACAGGCAGTCCCCGGGTTACGTACAAGATAGGGACTGTAGGTTTGTTCTTAAGTTGAATTTGTATGTAAGTCGGAACTGGTACATATTGTAGGGGAAACCATAGCCAAACATTTCTCCAGAGCTCAGTTTTATTCTCCCACACCTCACTTCCCTTAGTCCTTTATTCTCAAGCTGAGGTGTCTGCTGAGAAAAGCCGCTCCGCATCTCCCTGGTCTGCTGGGGGAGGGGCGCTAGCTTCGCGTCTCCCTGGTCTGCTGGGGGGAAGCAGCTAGTGCGGGGTTGCCTCACCCCGTTTGTAAGTAGGGATCTGATGTAAGTCGGATCCATGTAACCCGGGGACTGCCTGTACACTGCATTTTGGTAAACAAGAATAAAACTGTTTTTAGTTTCCTGTTTGCTAAATTAATAATAACTGAAGTAAATGTGAGAAGGGCATCTAATACCATTATCATAGCTCTACAATGGAATAAACTGCACATGGACAGGTTAGCATCCTACTAAAACAGATATAATTAAAACATGTTATTCCACAATAAGATAGAAGGAATAAAATACTCAATAAGTGCTCAGTAATAGCTATGATAGAAAGGTTGAAACTACATAAACAGTCTTCCAACAAGAGACTAAAAGAAAAATTATCTCAGAATGTGGACAGACGTGCCCTCTTGTGGTCTCTGGAATAATTGTACATTTTTGTTCAAGTAAAATTAAAAAAACAGACCTTACTATATTTGACATATATACATATATATATATATATATATATACACACACAATTTACAATTGATAAATTATACTTATAACCAGAAAGCTTTGAAATTGTATTTGTGTATTTCTTGGTCTCTACAGAAAGTTTCTTGAATTAGAAAAAATAAGCTTTTTAGTACCAAGGTTAAGAATCACTAACAGCCTCGTCCCATCTTATGTAAGGATATTCCTGTGCACTTTTTTGTTTATTGCTCTTGGTAAGCTTAAAGGAGATACTGGATACATATTGTACACTTCATAAATATAGAGGAATCTTTATGATCAAGCCAAAACCCAAGGCTAAAATCAAGGCTCGATATCCTTCTAAAAGATATGCTATAATTCAAAAAGAAGTTATAACCTTTATACAGAAATACATAAGCATCCATATCCTGCATTATGCTGAAATGCTGAATAGATTATAATAATAGTCCTTTCCGGCCTTAAAATCCATTTAAAAGGTCTTTCTTCAAATTCCCAGACATGTCTTCTTCAAAAACTTCATTGAAACTGGAATGATAATAAATAGTATCACCAAGCACTTATGTAGTGTTTTTCAACCATACATCTCAAAGTATTTTTATACAGGAGGTACTGTACTGATGTGCAAGACCTTAAAACTAAAATAATTAGCATATGATCTTGATCAAGAAGTACTTACATACATCCTTGAAAGCATGATCATAAACACCACCAAAGGATCTTTGGTTTGAAGATTGCAAGCTATGATCTGAAGATTTCTTCTACTTACTATTAGGGATGCAAAAACTCACCAAAATAGTTAAACAGGTGGGGGACTGCTTCAGACAGGACAATTAAGCCTACTGCTTACTGGTTAATTGATAAAACGGTTAACCTCTTACATTCTCACTGACTATGATACCATGATTTCTGAGATCATCAAGGAAATTAAGTCCTGCTCCTTAATATTGTTAACCCATTGTATGTAGCTGGAATCCATTGTGTATGGTTTATGAATACCCAGAAAAGGTGAAATAAAGACACCAGAACTTTTTTACACCAACTGGTTGCTTTAATCTTCACCAGAACTTTTTACACCAACTGGTTGCTTTAATCTTATAAGAGAATCAGTTCCCATTTGAATGCTCTACATGAGGATTTAATCACACTAATGTAAGTCAAGGGCATTAATGCCAAAGGCCATACAGTATTTGTGTGTGTCTGTTGTTGTTATCCATATCAACTCAGTTGGACATATAACCAGACAAGAAAGGAAAAGAAAAGAACGGTTACTTACCTCGTATCTCTGATTCTTCGAGATGTGTTGCTCATGTCCATTCCAATTAGGTGTGTGCGTGCACGCGTCGTCAGAAGTTTTTCCCTCGGCAGTACCCTTAGGGCCAGCAGGGAGCCCCCCCCTGGAGTGGCACCGGTATATTGGCCCATATATACTGATGGCCCCCTCACCCACTCAGTTCCTTCTTATCGGAATATTCCGGAGAAAGAGCGGCGGGCGGGGATTTGGAACGGACATGAGCAACACATCTCAAAGAATAACAGTTACGAGGTAAGTAACTGTTCTTTCTTATTCGAGTGATTGCTCATGTGCATTCCAATTAAGTGACTCCAAAGCAGAACCTATGGAGGAGGGCCGGATGTTGAAGCTATAGAGAAGTGGAGGACTGCCCTTGCCCAGGGCAGTGTCTTCCCTGGCTTGATGCGTTATCACATAGGGATTGGTGAAGGTATGGACAGAGGACCATGTCACGGCTCTGCAGATGCCCAGGATGGGAATCTGCATCATGAAAGCGGTGGAGGCTGCCACGGCTCTTGTGGAGTGAGCTCTAATGGGTGGAGCCAGTACCCCCGCTAGGGCATAGCACTCCTTGATACAAGCAGTTATCCAGGAGGAGATCTGCTGCGAGAATACGGGTTGACTCTGTGACGGACCAGGCCGTGTCTGGGCACAACTAAGGGCGTCCACTCAGGGCGAGTTGCTCAAATCCGGGGCTCCTTACAGTACGTGTGTAAAGCCTGTTCTTTCCCAGATGCGTGCGGCTTGGGGTAAAAAACCAGCAGGAAAATGTACTGGGAGGTGTGAAAGGAAGACACCACCTTAGGCAGAAAGCCCAGGTGGGGGCAGACCCTAACCTTGTCTTTAAAAAACACCGGGTGGGGGGATCCAAGATGAGAGCTCTGAGTTCCGATGCCCACCTGGCAGATGTGAGGGCAACCAGGAGAGACACCTTATACGACAGATTGGGGGACGGGCTGGAGGACGTGTGGGTAGAGTCTGTCCAACCCTTTCAAAAACCTGTTGACCATTGGGTTAGCAAACAGAGTTTTCCCTCCTTCCCCCGGGTGGAAGGCCGAAATGGCCTCCAAGTGAACCTTGATGGAGGAGGAAGAGAGGCCCTGAAGCCTGTGGTCTAACAGGTAATCCAGGATCAAGGGGATCACAGTTCGCCTTGGGTTTACCCTCTTCTGGGCAGGGTTGCCCTAGCTCATCCCTGACAGGTGTCTGTCTAACCTGGCCTTAAATATCTGCAATTTAAGCCCACTGCTTCTCATCCTAACCTCAGAGGCCAAGCAGAACAATTTTTTTTTCTCCTTCTTATGATACTCTTTTAGAGTAGTCTACACTACCACGCTAGTTCGAACTAGGGTAGTAATGTAGGCAACCGGAGTTGCAAATGAAGCCTGGGATTTGAATTTCCCGGGCTCCATTTGCATCTTGCCGGGCGCCGCCATTTTTAAATGTCCGCTAGTGCGGCCTCCGTGCCGCGTGGCTACACGCGGCATGGACTAGGTAGTTCGGACTAGGCTTCCTATTCCAAACTACCATTACTCCTCGTTTCCTACATTACCACCCTAGTTCGAACTAGGGTGGTAGTGTAGACATACCCTTAGATACTTGAAAGCTGCTCTCATGTCCCTTTTCGGTCTTCTCTTTTCCAAGGTAAACAAGGCCAATTTCTTCAGTCTTGCCTCATATCTCATGTTCTCTAGACCTTTCATCATTTGTGTTGATCTTCTCTGGACTTTCTCCAGTTTCTCCTCATTTCCTGAAAGGTGATACCCAGAACTGGACATGATACTCCAGCTGGGGCCTAATGTAGATGGTTCATTGCCTGTCTAGGGGACCTGAGACTGGGTGGGCTAATTTCCAATCCCCCTATTTATTCTTTTCGTCAGTTAGGAGGGCATAGTAGTTCTGATGGGGGTTGGAGAGGGGATGGAAGCCAGATCCAAGATCAATGAGCCCTGGGAAGTGGGCCCACTGAAAGGAGACTGGACCTGTGGATGCCTTGGGGGTCTGCAACAAGGGCCTGCTTTGGGAAGCCCCCTCTTTGGAGGTGAATGTGGCAG